TAAAGCATATTAACCTACTGAGGTTTGCAGAGCACTCCTTGGGGAGGATCAGAACTAGTCTGAGGCATGTCCAGCCAGCTCCGTGTTCTTCTCTGTGACTATGAACATAAACCTGGAGGAGCTGTCCTACATTCCCCTGAAGATAGGAAGGAGCAGCTTGCACAATGTGGACAGCTTCTATTTGGATCTATTTGCCCACAGCCAGTGGGACTTTGCATGGGGCATGTCACCATTTGCCAGTCCGTGACAAGCTGAGTCTGACAAAGTTACCATGTGAGCAAACATACTTTAAACACATTGATTCATGAACCAAAGGTTCAATCACATTGTGAGAGGAACCATTGGACAATTTTAAAATTGCCCATCTGGGGGTGCCTGGGTGGCTGTTGGTTAAGCATCTGACTCTTGGTTTTGGCTCAGATCCTGACCTGTTTGTGGATTCCAGTTCCACGTTGGGCTCTGTGCTCGCTTGGTGTGCAGGGCCTGTTTGGGATTCTCTCTCCCTCTCTCTGCCCCTCCCACCCCCTCACTCATTCTCTCTCTAAATAAACTTAAAAAATTGCCCATCTTACTCTGGGAAAGGGTAAGGTTATTTTCCCTTGCTGTTGATATTTGATATCTTCTTGTATATGATGCTTATAAATAGAAGCACCCAATCTTTGTGGTAGCAAATTCATTAAACGTCTATAAGCAATTCCTACTGGGATGAGTGTTAAAGCTAGAGCGTGGCTGTGAACAGGCCTGTGGCAGTGGAAGTTCTCTGACATGCTGAGAAAACACACTTGGAAAAGTGAAACTAAAATAACACCTTTCCCTGTATTCCAATGATTATTCTAAATAATTACTTCAAAAAATGGAATCATAGCATTTTAGGTCTGGAAAGGACTCCTTCATGGATGAGGTTGGCAAAGCTTGAAAAGGTTAGGTAACAGGTCCATGTGGCTTGTCTGTGGATCAGCGAGGCTAGAACTCAGCTCTCTGACCAGTGCTCTTTCTCTTAAACTCTTTTCTCCCCACTTAAGACATTCCAGTGTCATTTAAGGAGTTACTTTCCTGATTATTCATTAGAACGCAATTTGCTGGTCTTCTGTGTTGGAGTGGAAGACAAGTCGTATGTATAATATGCGTCCCTTGGTTCTCCTGCTCTCTGGATAGCCCTCCACCTTGACCTTTTTTCCCTACCCTCTGCCCCCCACTGGATCTCCCCCTCCCCTTCAAACACTGTTATCTTTGGAAATATGTGTGTGCACTTTCCAACCTGGCTGGGATCAGGGGCAAGGTGACGCTTGGTTTAATGGATTTTTTTCCCACAGTGCCTTAATTTGCCCAAGGGTTTGGAAGGTCACACAACTAACAAAAAGTAAACCGCAGTCGTTTGCCCTTTCAGCAGGTCTGTGTTCGGTTAATATAGCAAGAAATAAGAAAAAACTAGTAAGGAAAAAAAGGCAAAACTCCACTTGAAGTAACTGCGGACCCCCTGGAAAAGTTCAAGGCTGTTGTTCATTGTTTGAACTTTCCCCCTTGTGATTCACTTGTATTCCTTAAATCATCTTCAGACGTCTGATCAAGGAAGTGTTAGAGGAAAATACAAAGTCGGGTATTGGCATTGCAGTGTCCTGGCTCCTAGAAGTCGGTGGAGAATGTGCTTCTTTTCTCTGGTGCTGGGTGATCAGAGTGGGAGCCTTTTCCTGTGCAGGAAGCCCTCTTTGCTGCTGGGGCTACTGTGCGCAGGAACGCACCCTTTCCTAGTTCTCATTCCTCAGTAGACATTTCTGTGAAGGGCAGGCCTTTTTTTTCCATTCTAGTACTCACACTCAGGTCCCGCTAAGTACCAGGAGGGCCGTGTTTTTTTGTTTTGTTTAATCAGAGGGTGAAATGGAACCTCCCCCTGGGTGCCCGGGGAGTCCCTTTGGGGTAGCGCCCCCCCCCCCTTCCGGAGGGCAGCATCCTGGAGGGGGTGGGGGGTTCAGCTTTGATCCCAGGGCACCTTTTGTCCCTAGAGGCGCCCTCTGCCAGCCAGGTATGTGGAGGGAAAGTGCTGTCCGCTTTCCAGGGCGGCCAGTGTGGGTCTGGGGAGCCGGAAAGTCCCTTTGGAGAGTGGCGGGGCGTGCGAGAAGCCAACACGGTGGGCACAGCGAACTCACTGGGCGTCTCCGAGGAAGTTCGGGCGGGGTCCGCCGGCTCTCGGGCTTTCTTCTTCTAAAATCCATCCCTGGGCAGGGCAAGCCCACTTCTCACCCAAACTCGTGGAGACGAGGGACTAGGCGGGCGCGGGGTTCGTTGAAGCGGATCGGGGAGCTCCTGGCCCAGGCGGCGAGGCCCCTCCAGCGCCGGTCCACGGCCCAGGGCGCCGGCTCAGCCGCCTCGGCCGGGCCGGTCCCGCGGGCGGGGACCGCTTACACGCTGACGGCGGCGAGGGCTCCGGGACTCCGGCCCGGGTCGGGCTCGGGGCGGCCAGTCGCCGGCGCCGCCCGTGCGCCCGCCCTCAGCCGCCCGGCGAGGCGGCGGCCTCCTCCGCCGGCGCGGGGTCCCCTGGTTAACCCCTGCCCGCCAGCCTGGCCGCTGATTGGAGGAGGCGGGGCGCTGTGGGGCAGTGGGGACTTCCCACCTTCCTCGTCCCCTCCCCCTCCTCCCCCCCACTGTCGGCTCTTCCCCCACCCCCCCAGGACCCCCCCTGCCTCCCAGCCGTGCAAATCTCGCGAGGAAACACGCGGTTTCACTAGTGTGTTTACACCGATCACTACTAATCCGGACCGAACCGATCCGGATTACAAGGAACCAGTCCTGGAGGTCCCACCAGCGGTTCCGACCCCCCCGCCCTCCGCGCCGCACCCGAGTGGCCCCCAGCCGAGCGGGCCCCCACCTCCCGGCCCGGCCTGGGCCTCCTGCGCCTCCCTTGGCCTGTCCGGCCGGTCCCGCGCCCCCCGCGGCCGCCCGGGCCCGGGCCCGCGTCGGGCGCCTGGCTCTGTACGCGAGCCCGGGGATCTGCGGCCATGGGCCCCCCCTCCCCGCCCGCCCTCTCGTGGAGCCCGGCGCCGGCGGCGGCTGCCCGGGCGGGGGGTTGCGGCGCTCAGGAGGCCCCGGCTCCGCCCCGGGCCTGCCCAGGGGGAGAGCGGAGCGGTCGGCGGCCGGGTCGGGTCGGGGCCCCTCCCGGGAGGAGCGTGGAGCGGCGGCGGCGGCGGCAGGTGAGAGGCTGAGCCCCGGGCGGGGGAGGGCTCCGGGCCTGGGGCATTAACCGTCCGGGGGACCCCCCTCAGGGGAGGAGGCTGAGGCCCGGGCCCACCCGGGGGCCGGGCCGCAGCTCCTCGGCGCTGAGGCGGGAGGGGCTCCCCGAGGGCTGCGGGTCGCCGAGGGGCCGGGCTGAAGATGGGGGAGGCCCAGGCAGCCCCGGCCTGGGAGTGGGGCCGGCGGCCGGCAGGGCGAAGGGGACGCCCCGGCAGCTGGAGGCCCCGGCAGCCTCCTGGGCACCCCCGAGAGCCGGCCCGCCCTCCCTCCGTGACAGGTGGGCCTGGAGTTGGGGAAAGTTTGGAGCCGGCGGGAGGCAAGGGGCGCCGGGACCAGGCCCCATCGGTTCTGTTTCCCGGCTGTGGGCTGCAGGGAGGATCCCAGTCCAAGGCCCCGCAGGAATGAGACAGAGTGGAGATTTCCTTAACATGAGTTGACATTAAATGGAATAACCGCTGGGGCGTCATTTTCTGGGCCAGGCCTGGGGATGGAGGTTTAGGAAATGTTCTGAGAGACCCTAGGGTTTGAGGGAGGCTGCAACCTCTGCCATTCCGGCCTTGATTAGGGCAGGGCGAGACGCGAGGAAGGCCACTTAGGGGAAGCACACTCTGTCCCCTTTTTCCTTTCTTTCTTTTTCTTTTTTAAGATGCCTTTCTGCCTTTTCGAGAATTTCCTTATTCCCTCGCTAACCTGCGCTCGTTTGTGTGGGTGAAACTTTAATTTGTCACCCTTTCATTCCCCTTTGCCCCAGGCTCTCAATCCAGGAAGGGAAATGAAACTGGAAGACTGGTGTAGGGGTTGTTACAGTTAATGTGGAGTTGTTAGATTGCAGAGGAGCATGTTTAATTCATGTTCTCAGTGAACTTTTAAATCATGCCAATCATTCCAATCGCTGTTTAATAATATGTTCAAAGGGGTTCTGTGTAATGGTATATGTTCCTATTCCACTTGTAATATTAGGTTTCCAATGGGCTCCGCAAGAGTTGATCTCTTGCGATGGATGGACGTATTTGCTGAAAGTAGCCTGTGCATTTATTGGTTGTGGAAGGAGTTTAAAAATGGTGTCCTCCTGCCCTTCCCTGCTTGGAAGGAGTGCTAAAAGCAGATGTCTAGAGAAACCTACTGCTCCAGGGAGTGGTCAGAAAAAGATTTTGTAAAGGGATGGTTATGGAGCTCTGCTAATTTCCTGAGTGAATGCTGGTTGATGGTTTTACCCTGGGTTCTCTATTAAATTTAAAATAATTAATTCCTTTTTTCATGAGCTACCGTGAGCTCTTCAGAGAAAGGAGCTATATAATAGCGTTATTTGAAGTTATTTGTAGCTTCTGATTCATGCTGCATTATTTTTAAATTATTATTAATGATTCATATTTTTAGTTTAAGAACTAGTTCCTGTGGGTTTGGGAAACAAATATCCGAAAGTACTTCGTTAAATTCAAAGGTTGATGGAAGGAATTTTTGTCGTTGTTTTGCAAGTTAGTCCTTGTTCAACTTTTACTGAGATTATATGAGGGGTTTGAGGTTTTTTGCTGTTAAAATCAGAACTAGACAAGGATATAGTAGCCCTCCGAAGAGGACTTCTGAGCTTTTTAACTTTAAATGTATTACTGTTTGATGCAGCACATTGTAGTTTATCGCTTGTATGCCGTATTTACTTGAGGTCTACCTGTATGTGACCATTCAATGAAATAATTACGTTTTGTTGTAACTAAAAATTGGTGCCTCGTGTTTTAGCTTTTGTGGTCTCACAACCTACTTTTTCTTTTCCAGTAGAAATGATGGAAGAATTGCATAGCCTGGACCCTCGACGGCAGGAATTATTAGAGGCCAGGTTTACAGGGGTTGGCGTTAGTAAGGTGAGTAAAATGACCATAATGAGCACTGTTCACAGTCAAATGGAAACACATTTAGAAAACAGTTATGATCATTTTGGGTGGGTCAAACTGGTAGATTGCAGGGGAGATGGGCTCACCTGTTCCGATGAACTTTTAGCTCCTACCAGTCATTCCGCTAACTTCACGGTACATTTGAAGGGATTCTAAATGGAACTATATGCATCTCTTTCCCCTCTAATTTAGGAGAGGTTTCCCATGGGTCTCGTTGCAAGGATACTAATGGGATGTGTATCTGGCTTTTGTGCCATATTTTGTCAAAACAACTCAGTCATTAAATTAAAAAAAAAAAAAACTTAACGAAAAGGTATTGGCATAGATTCATTACGGTAGGTTTTTTGGATAGTTCTGTGATAAGAGTTTTGAAAAATCTGCTTCTACTGTTTGTCAGTTCTCCAGATCTGTAGCTCAGCAGATTCCTCCTGGTTGCACCCCCAGACTGCTTTCTCTCCTCCTATTTTTCCTTCTTGTTCACTGTTTTTGTTCAGGGAACATAAAATAAGATCAAGCCCCCAGGTGGTTACATTAAGCAATGTTATGGCTTCCTCTGTGTCCTTATGTAGTTCACTCTGCTCTCATAGGACGGTTTTAGTACAATATACTTATGATTTTAATACAATACGTAAAATATATTTACGATGTTGTATTTAAAAGCTTCACCATTCTAAGATCGTGGCATTAATTGGGCTTGAGACTTGTGAATTTTTGATCTTTGACTTCACGTGATACATACCTTTCCATGCTTCTCAAGAAATCTTATTTCTCATGGAGACCGGAATGTTAGTGACCTGCTTTGGTCAGTAGCTTCTTGAAGAAGAAGGTGTTTGTCAAGGTTTAGTTGGAAAAACTGGCTGCTTTGAGGGGTCTCATAATTTTGGTGAGCTGGAGTAGGTTGTTAGCTTTTGTTCATTCAACAGATAAATTGAGTGTCTGCCGCATACTGGACATTGTGCAGGGTGTGAGGAATGACACCCCAACTTAGAGCCTCCAAGGTGCTGTGGGAACACAGGATTTGTTGCACATTTTGTAGTTCTTGGTTTCTTTGGCCACTTTGATTAAAGTGGCACTTAGGGCACTTTGGGAAGGCTATGCTGACTGTTGACACATATTGAAGATACACGTATAAGTTCTCTGATCTAGGAGAAGTAGCTTCAACTGGAAGTGAGCAGTATGTTTGAGTATTAAATTGATCTCTGGATTAAATTGATTATGTGTCTTCTCATTTGGGAATTCAGCACAAGGTTCATATCCAAATCTGTCTATTCAAGTGGTCACCTATGGAATAAAAGTGAGTTTGTATTCAAATTGTATGGTAGTTTAAACTCATTGGGTTTTGTTGTTAGTATGCCTTTCTTTTCCTCAATTTTTAAGGTCGTGATAGCTATATCCAAGTACTCTTTTGATGGGGTGGAGCATAAGTGATGGCGATAATTGACCTTGTGAATCTTGCTGCCCAGGCCTAAGTTAAAATCTTGTAATTAAGGTGTCAGAAGACTTAATCTGTTTAATAGGAAGTTCTTCCTGTTGTATATATAAGGAAGTTTATTTATATCCAAATGTTTTTTATGCCAGTAACTGTATGTTATTTTGATGTTTTTAGTCTACCATGACTATACTTACTGTAGTATATCATAATAAATATTATTCAAGGACTGGCAAGGGATTTTTTTTTTCCCCATAGCAAAGAAACTTGGGAGGGGGGGAGCAAGTAAATATTCTGTAATTTGGAGTTAGGAAGAAGAAAAGAAAATAACCATTTTGTATAACTTCTTTTGCCTGCAAGACATTGTATCCCTCAGACCACTGATTTGAAATGGGACTGAGGAGGAGGAGGCCATGTACTGGGAGAAAAGGTGCTTTGAGAGAAACTCCGCCTCCTAGCTTTGAATTCCTCATTATGGGTCATCATGTCCCAATGAGGATGTCACTGAGTTGATAGTTTTCAGTTTCAGCCCTTGCTCCAAATGGGAGAGGAGAGTGACTTTCCTGTGATAGTGCCATCTAGTGGGACTGGTGCAGCCACAGGGGCTGTCTCTTGAGTTTCTCCTAACTATTCATAACATTTTCAGTACTTTTTGATGTCCATAGAAGGAAGAAAGTTAGTGCCATTGTGGATTCTTTCCTAGTGGACAAGGGTGTTTTAAGTGGCTGCAGTCTTTGAACTTCCTGGTTGTTAACAGATCTTTTGTTATGTCGCTTCAAGTTTTTTACACCTGCAAGTTAGATCTACATCACAAAACTTAGACTGAAATAAAATGGTCAAAAGCCACCACATTTATTATTTATGTTTAAGTTGCTCTTATGGGTAGGATTTTAATTCACAAATATAAAATTTTCTTGCATTTAAATGCATTCAGTTTCTCTTTCTTTTAGTGTGTTTAATTTTTAATGACTGGTAAGCCAGAAGGATTTGTTTTGTGCCTTGGGATACATTGTGTGGATTTTTAAGAGGTTGGGGTTTTCTGTCACTAGTGGGTTGATGATAGAGGAAAGTAGCCTGATGGACACCAAGAAAATAGGGTTGGTTTTTGTTCTCTATCTAGCTGCCAGTTTTTTTAGGAGGGCATGTAACCATCCTTTTAGCATTTTTGAGGTGATAAGGTTAAATTGGGTTGTGAACCTACTTCTTCATTTCTTGTTGACCTGATATGTGAGCTATCCTACTTCTTTTTTTAAGGTCTCCTCCCTTATACTGGATAAGCCACTTCTAGTTATGTGAAACTGACTCTACCTTGTATTTAAATGTTTTCAGTGAGGACCTATTGTAGCTTATATTCCCTACCCTGCTTTCTCTCTCTCTTTTTTCTTTTAAGATTATATTCTTTTTTTTTTTTTTTAATTTTTTTTTTTTCAACGTTTATCTATTTTTGGGACAGAGAGAGACAGAGCATGAACGGGGGAGGGGCAGAGAGAGAAGGAGACACAGAATCCGAAACAGGCTCCAGGCTCTGAGCCATCAGCCCAGAGCCCGACGCGGGGCTCGAACTCACGGACCGCGAGATCGTAACCTGGCTGAAGTCGGACGCTTAACCGACTGCGCCACCCAGGCGCCCCAAGATTATATTCTTTTAAGTAATCTCTGTATTCAAACTCACAACCCCAAGATCAGGAGTCCTATGCTCCACCATTTTAGAGCCAGCAGGGCACCCCATTTTGACAATTTAAGTACAGGTGGTCTCTGTGATTCCAGAGGCCGTGTGAAGTAGGTAGAATTGCACCCCTGCACGCACTGTATTTATAGCTAGTTTAGTTTTTTTTTTTTTTAAGTTTATTTTTTTTATTTAAGTAGTCTCTCTACCCAACGTGGGGCTCAAACTCACAACCGCGAGATCAAGAATCTCCTGCTCTTCTGACTGAGCCAGCCAGGTGCCCTTGTAGCCAGTTTAGTTTTAATGCTAATATAGTAGTAAATACTTACATGGTACTTACTAAGTGCCAAGTACTGTTCCAAATACAATAAAAGTGATGTGAATTTAAATCTTTTGTAACAGGGATACTAGTCTTAATAAACCTCTGTTCTCTTTTTGTGAGACCTGCTAATGCCCGCTGCATTGCTCCCACTGGTTGAATTCTGGACTTACCAAGGATCACATTGTTACAATTTGCACTTGTATTATAATTACATAATCTAATAACAAATTTTGGAGACCAATGAAATATAATTGCAAAATGTAAGAATTGTTGATTCTATGAAAACTAAGTTAACTGCCATGGAAGAACTGAAAGGTGAGCCAATAAGGAGATACTTCTGAAGGTTTATAAGTTTTTGTTTTTTTGTAATCTGGAAGAATTCTTCATTTAGATCCTTGGCAAATATCTCTTAAGTCTTGCTTCACTTTTAAAGAAGTTGAAACTAGAAATTGTGGCTGATGCATTATGGGTGTGGTTTGTGTGAGATCAGGACTATATAGTCAGTGGATCTGTAACTCAAAAGGGCTGCATCAAAAGACTTGCAACAGAATATGCATTTACATGTTTCAAGTTCAAAGAAAATGTCTAAGGTGTAATTTTTTTTTTTTATATTCCCCACTGCAACCTACTTTTTTGATTAATGTTATTAGTTTCAGTTGTATTGAATAAAAAGGATTAATATGGTTTGTGATGGATGGTATTGAAAAGAAGAGCAAAATGAGAATCCACGAAAGTGGGACGGTCTGTACTGACACAAGAACCTTCACTTTATAGAGCCTGCTGTAAGACCATATATTTTTAAGTAGTATTGCATAGGAGATTTTTTGATGTCTTGAAGAAAAGTGATCATTTTCTACCTCTTGTAAGTTTGTGAGTGATACGTGATCAGCGTGTTTAAAATATTTTTATTTTTTTCTGATACACGATCCGTTTAAATGATCAGATTTAACTTCTGAAAAGATATTTAACCAACTGATAACTTTTTCTCCTGTTATTTAGTTAATTGCATCAATTAGAAGGTGTCAGTTTTGGATAGCTAGTGTTAGCTATTTTACATACCAATCCAGTAATTTAAAAAAATATATGTTTAGGTGTTTTGCATTTAATACATAGTTAGACAATGCTTAATAAGCATAAATTCTGAGAGAAAGTCTGTACTTAAACCATTGAATTTTAAGGCACTGTTAAATTTATTGTTATGTTTGCCTTTATGTTGACTTCTCCCTTTCATTTACTTCGTATTTGTTTAATTCTCTCATTTCACATCTAGCCAAGTATCAGCTCCTGTCTCTTCTTTCTCTGAAGTTTCTCAAGCATTTGTCTGCTCTCCCTGCTACTTTCTCAATCCTCCCTCGTTCATAACTGTAATAACCAGCCTCTCCTACCCCATTTATCTTTCTGTAAACTGTCTCCAGATATATTTCTAAAAATACCAGTATTGTTTTATTCCCTTGCTTTAAAGGTTCCCATAGACTGTTGGACTGAATTAAAACTCCTACCCTAATTTTTCAACTTCACAGCCAGTGGTCTGTTCTCCTAGTGCTGTGCTCTGC